AGAGAAGAGAGGAGGAGTTATCCCGAGGGAATTGGGGGGGGAATGGGGGGGGGATGGAGACACGATGGAGACATGGATGGACACGCATGTCCCATGGGAACAGCAATGGGATGCACGCGCATCCCTTGGGATCAGAGCACACATCCCTTGGGATCAGCACTGGGAGACAGGAGCATCCTTTGGGATTAGTACTGGGATACCCACACACATCCCTTGGGATCAGAGCACACATCCCTTGGGATCAGGACTGGGATACACGCAATCCTGTGGGATTAGTACTGGGATACACACACACACCCCTTGGGATCAGCACTGGGATACCCACACACATCCCTTGGGATCAGCACTGGGAGACAGGAGCATCCTTTGGGATTAGTACTGGGAGACGAGCACACATCCCTTGGGATCAGAGCACACATCCCTTGGGATCAGAGCACACATCCCTTGGGATCAATACTGGGATGAACGCAAATCCTGTGGGATTAGTACTGGGATACCCACACACACCCCTTGGGATCAGCACTGGGATACGCACACACATCCCTTGGGATCAGAGCACACATCCCTTGGGATCAGAGCACACATCCTTTGGGATTAGTACTGGGATACAAGCACACATCCCTGGGGAGTAGGACTGGGAGATGGGAGCATCCTTTGGGATTAGTACTGGGAGACGGGCACACATCCCTTGGGATCAGAGCACACATCCCTTGGGATCAGAGCACACATCCCTTGGGATCAGAGCACATATCCCTTGGGATCAGTACTGGGATACACACACACATCCCTTGGGATCAGCACTGGGATACGAGCACACATCCCTTAGGATCAGAGCACACATCCCTTGGGATCAGTACTGGGATACGGGCACACATCCCTTGGGATTAGAGCACACATCCCTTGGGATCAGAGCACACATCCCTTGGGATCAGTACTGGGATACACACACACATCCCTGGGGATCAGCACTGGGATACCCACACGCATCCCTTGGGATCAGCACTGGGATACCCACACACATCCCTTGGGATCAGCACTGGGAGACGGGAGCATCCTTTGGGATTAGTACTGGGAGACAGGCACGCATCCCTTGGGATCAGCACTGGGATACCCACACACATCCCTTGGGATCAGCACTGGGATACCCACACACATCCCTTGGGATCAGTACTGGGATACCCACACACATCCCTTGGGATCAGCACTGGGATACCCACACACATCCCTTGGGATCAGCACTGGGATACCCACACGCATCCCTTGGGATCAGCACTGGGATACCCACACACATCCCTTGGGATCAGCACTGGGATACCCACACACATCCCTTGGGATCAGCGCTGGGATACACACACGCATCCCTTGGGATCAGCACTGGGATACCCACACGCATCCCTTGGGATCAGCACTGGGATACCCACACGCATCCCTTGGGATCAGCACTGGGATACCCACACGCATCCCTTGGGATCAGCACTGGGATACCCACACGCATCCCTTGGGATCAGCACTGGGATACCCACACGCATCCCTTGGGATCAGCACTGGGATACCCACACACATCCCTTGGGATCAGCACTGGGATACCCACACACATCCCTTGGGATCAGCACTGGGATACCCACACACATCCCTTGGGATCAGCACTGGGACACCCACACACATCCCTTGGGATCAGCACTGGGATACCCACACGCATCCCTTGGGATCAGCACTGGGATACCCACACACATCCTTTAGGATCAGCACTGGGATACGAGCACACATCCCTTGGGATCACAGCACACATCCCTTGGGATCAGCACTGGGATACCCACACGCATCCCTTGGGATCAGCACTGGGATACACACACACATCCCTTGGGATCAGCACTGGGATACACACACACATCCCTTGGGATCACAGCACACATCCCTTGGGATCAGCACTGGGATGCCCACACACATCCTTTAGGATCAGCACTGGGATACCCACACACATCCCTTGGGATCAGCACTGGGAGACGGGAGCATCCTTTGGGATTAGTACTGGGAGACAGGCACGCATCCCTTGGGATCAGCACTGGGATACCCACACACATCCCAGGGATGCTCCAGCTTGCAAAGGCAGCAGCATTCCCAAGCTGGGATCACCGGGATACCTCCAACCCCTTGGGAGCGCCCCTGTCTTAAGGGGCTGCTCCGGGCACTTACCGCATCCCAACACATCCCAATGCATCCCAACGCATCCAATGCATCCCAAGGCATACCAACACATCCCAAGGCATCCCAAGGCATCCCACTGCATCCCAACGCATCCCAGCACATCCAATGCCTCCCAACGCATCCCCTGTATCCCAACACATACCACTGCATCCCAGCACATCCCAAGGCATCCCAGCGCATCCAATGCCTCCCAATGCATCCCAACGCATCCCCTGCATCCCAACGCATCCCCTGCATCCCAACGCATCCCACTGCATCCAATGCATCCCACTGCATCCCAATGCCTCCCAAGGCATTCCAGCGCATCCCAACGCATCCAATGCATCCCACCGCATCCCAACGCCTCCCAATGCATCCCAAGGCATCACAATGCCTCCCAACACATCCCAGTGCATCCCACTGCATCCCAACGCATCCCACTGCATTCCAACGCATCCCACTGCATTCCAACGCATCCCACTGCATTCCAGCGCATCCCACCGCATCCCAACGCCTCCCAATGCATCCCAAGGCATGACAATGCCTCCCAACGCATCCCAATGCCTCCCAGTGCATCCCACTGCATCCCAAGGCATCACAATGCCTCCCAACACATCCCAATGCCTCCCAGTGCATCCCACTGCATCCCAACGCATCCCACTGCATCCAGTGCCTCCCAACACATCCCAACGCATCCCACTGCATCCCACCGCATCCCAACGCATGCCACTGCATCCCAATGCACCCCACTGCCTCCCAACGCCTCCCACTGCATCCCAACGCATGCCACTGCATCCCAATGCACCCCACTGCATCCTACTGCACCCCACTGCATCCTACTGCATCCCAATGCCTCCCAGTGCATCCCAATGCCTCCCACTGTATCCCAGCGCATCCCAGTGCATCCCACTGCATCCCACTGCATCCCAACGCATCCCAGCGCATCCCACTGCATCCAATGCATCCCAAGGCATTGCAGCGCATCCCAACGCATCCAATGCATCCCACAGCATCCCACTGCATCCCAACGCCTCCCAATGCATCCCACTGCATCCTACTGCATCCCAACGCATGGCAATGCATGCCACTGCATCCCAATGCATGCCACTGCATCCCAACGCATCCCAACACACCCCACTGCCTCCCCCTGCCTCCCAGCGCATCCCAGCGCATCCCAGTGCATCCCACAGCATCCCAACACATCCCACTGCATCCAATGCCTCCCACTGCCTCCCCCTGCCTCCCCGCGCATCCCTTTCCGGTACCCTGGGATTCGTAGGCGGGCGGCAGCGCCACGGAGCCGCTGATGCCCAGGTGGGTCATGGTGGTGGCGAGGTTGCCGGTGCTGCCGAGGCTGGGGAAGGGGCTCTCCTCGGGGTCCAGCGGGGTGGGCAGCGGGGACGGGAAGTGCAGGCTGCTGAGGTCGGGCAGGGACCCCCCCGTGCCCAGGGCGGGCGGGATGAGGGGCACCGAGGCGGCGGGATCCGGCGATGGGAAGACGCTGGGGCAGGAAGAGGCACGGGAAAAGGTGGGAATCGCATCCGGGGGCATCCCATTGCCCTCCCCCCCCCTTCCCAAAGCAATCCCAAAGCAATCCCAAAGCATTCCCAAAGCATTCCCAAAGCAATCCCAAAGCAATCCCAAAGCGTTCCCAAAGCGTTCCCAAAGCATTCCCAAAGCATTCCCAAAGCATTCCCAAAGCAATCCCAAAGCGTTCCCAAAGCGTTCCCAAAGCATTCCCAAAGCGTTCCCAAAGCATTCCCAAAGCAATCCCAAAGCGTTCCCAAAGCGTTCCCAAAGCGTTCCCAAAGCGTTCCCAAAGCACTCCCAAAGCACTCCCAAAGCAATCCCAAACCATTCCCAAAGCATTCCCAAAGCATTCCCAAAGCAATCCCAAAGCAATCCCAAAGCAATCCCAAAGCATTCCCAAAGCAATCCCAAAGCATTCCCAAAGCAATCCCAAAGCAATCCCAAAGCACTCCCAAAGCAATCCCAAAGCACTCCCAAAGCAATCCCAAAGCATTCCCAAAGCATTCCCAAAGCATTCCCAACGCAATCCCAAAGCAATCCCAAAGCGTTCCCAAAGCGTTCCCAAAGCGTTCCCAAAGCGTTCCCAAAGCGTTCCCAAAGCAACCCCAAAGCAACCCCAAAGCAACCCCAAAGCAACCCCAAAGCAACCCCAAAGCAACCCCAAAGCAACCCCAAAGCAGTCCCAAACCATTCCCAAACCATTCCCAAACCATTCCCAAACCATTCCCAAAGCACTCCCAAACCATTCCCAAACCATTCCCAAACCACTCCCAAACCATTCCCAAACCATTCCCAAACCATTCCCAAAGCACTCCCAAACCATTCCCAAAGCACTCCCAAAGCACTCCCAAAGCATCCCCAAAGCATTCCCAAACCATTCCCAAAGCACTCCCAAAGCATTCCCAAACCATTCCCAAAGCACTCCCAAAGCATTCCCAAAGCACTCCCAAAGCACTCCCAAAGCACTCCCAAAGCACTCCCAAACCATTCCCAAACCATTCCCAAAGCATTCCCAAAGCATTCCCAAACCATTCCCAAACCATTCCCAAAGGAATCCCAAACCATTCCCAAAGCATTCCCAAAGCAAACCATTCCCAAAGCAATCCCAAAGCATTCCCAAAGCAATCCCAAAGCATTCCCAAAGCAATCCCAAAGCATTCCCAAAGCACTCCCAAACCATTCCCAAAGCAATCCCAAAGCATTCCCAAAGCACTCCCAAACCATTCCCAAAGCACTCACAAAGCATTCCCAAACCATTCCCAAAGCATTCCCAAAGCAATCCGAAACCATTCCCATTCCCAAACCATTCCCAAACCATTCCCAAACCATTCCCAAACCATTCCCAAACCATTCCCAAAGCACTCCCAAAGGAATCCCAAAGCATTCCCAAAGCACTCACTGGATCCCAGGGACCTCGCAGGAGCGTGGCCGGGCGGAGGAGGAGGAGAGCTATGGGGTGGAGGGGGGGAGGAAGGAGGTGAGGGCAGGATGGGTGCGGAGCGCGGTCCCATTCCCAACCCCATTCCCGGTCCTATCCCACCTTCCGCGTGTCCCAGGGCTTCAGCGGAGGCTTGGGATCATCGAAGGTCTCTTCGATGGGAGGCACTTGGAAAAGGAACACTGGGAAGAGGCATCGGGAATGGGGCATGGAGCAAACCCCCCCCCAAACATCGGCGCACCTCAATGTATGGGGCGGGGAAGGGGGCACAGGCGTTGGGGTCAGGGATGTGGGGCTCACCTTTGCTGTCTGCATCCCCATCCAGGAAACCTGGAAGAGAGGAGGGAATGGTGATGGAGACAGGGGGATGGACGCAACGGGATGGGGATGGACGCAACGGGATGGACGCAACGGGATGGGGATGGACGCAACGGGATGTGGATGGATGCAACGGGATGGACGCAACGGGATGGACGCAACGGGATGGACGCAACGGGATGGACGCAACGGGATGGGGATGGATGCAACGGGATGGACGCAATGGGATGGGGATGGACACAACGGGATGGGGATGGATAAAACGGGATGGGGATGGACGCAACGGGATGGGGATGGATAAAAAGGGATGGGGATGGACGCAACGGGATGGACACAACGGGATGGGGACGGATGCAACGGGATGGACCCAACGGGATGGGGATGGACGCAACGGGATGGACACAAGGGGATGGGGATGGACGCAACGGGATGGGGATGGACGCAACGGGATGGGGATGGACGCAACGGGATGGGGATGGACGCAACGGGATGGGGATGGACGCAATTGGATGGGGACGGATGCAACGGGATGGACCCAACGGGATGGGGATGGATGCAACAGGATGGACGCAATGGGATGGGGATGGACACAACGGGATGGGGATGGATAAAACGGGATGGGGATGGACGCAACGGGATGGGGATGGATAAAAAGGGATGGGGATGGACGCAACGGGATGGGGATGGACACAACGGGATGGGGATGGATAAAACGGGATGGGGATGGACGCAACGGGATGGGGATGGACGCAACGGGATGGACACAAGGGGATGGGGATGGATGCAACGGGATGGACGCAACGGGATGGGGATGGATGCAACAGGATGGACGCAACGGGATGGGGATGGACGCAACGGGATGGACGCAACGGGATGGGGATGGACGCAACGGGATGGACACAAGGGGATGGGGATGGACGCAACGGGACGGACGCAACGGGATGGACACAAGGGGATGGGGATGGATGCAACGGGATGGATGCAACGGGATGGGGATGGACGCAACGGGATGGACAGAAGGGGATGGGGGTGGACGCAACGGGACGGACGCAACGGGATGGGGATGGACGCAACGGGATGGGGATGGACGCAACGGGATGGGGACGGACGCAACGGGCTGGGGACGGACGCAACGGGATGGGGACGGACGCAACGGGATGGACACAAGGGGATGGGGATGGATGCAATGGGATGGACGTAACGGGATGGGGATGGACACAGTGGGATGGGGATGAACGCAATGGGATGGGGATGGACGCAACGGGATGGATCCAAGGGGATGGACACAAGGGGATGGGGACGGACGCAACGGGATGGATGCAACGGGATGGGGATGGACGCAACGGGATGGAGATGGACACAAGGGGATGGACGCAACGGGATGGACGCAACGGGATGGATCCAAGGGGATGAACACAAGGGGATGGACACATGGGGATGGACACGATGGAATGGATCCAATGGGAAGGACACAATGGGATGGATCCAATGGGAAGGACACAATGGGATGGACACAAGGGGATGGACGCAAAGGGATGGGGACAGACGCAACGGGATGGATGCAACGGGCTGGATCCAAGGGGATGGACACATGGGGATGGACACGATGGAATGGATCCAATGGGAAGGACACAATGGGATGGACACAATGGGATGGATCCAATGGGATGGACACAATGGGATGGATCCAGTGGGAAGGACACAATGGGATGGATCCAATGGGAAGGACACAATGGGATGGATCCAATGGGATGGACACAATGGGATGGGGGGGGGGGGGGGGGCCGGGTCCATGTGCTCGCCGTGGGGCTCTCACCGCGGCGCCCGGGCGCGGGGGGTCCCTGTGTGGGGCCCAGGAAGGGGTCCTGGGGGCCGGGGTTGAGGGCGCTCGTGTGCAGAGCGGAGTCGGAATTCGTCCTGCGGGAGACAGCGGGATCCAGGCTGGGAATTCCCATTGGGAAGAGGCCCCCGGAGCCCCCCCAAGGAAGCTCCCCCCCCCCACTTATCCCATGGGATCCGGATGGGAGCGATGGAGCAGGAGCTGCCATGACCCCCCCCCCACCATGGGGATCCCAAAGGATGCGCTGGCTCCCGCATCCCAGGATCCAAACGGGATGGAGGCCCCCAAAGTGGGGGTGATCCCCCCCACAGCGATCCCTAGGAAAGACAGGAAGGAAAACCGGGATGAAGGCAAGCACCGACCTGTTGAGAGCCGAGGGCAGGCGGAACAAGTGGCCCTTTTCCATCGGGAAGTTCCCCCAGGGCATGGTCCTTCGGGAAAGGGAAGCGTTACTCGGGAATGTGCTGACCCACGGCATCCTCATCCCATTCCCGGCCTGGATCCCAAAGGGGATCCCAAAGGAAAGCCGGAGGGAAGGGGGATCCCGCTCCTTGCGGCTCCATGGAGCAGGAGCCAAGCCATGGCTGGATGCTGCTTGGGAGAAGGATGGGGAGGAGGGGGAGAATCCCATGGGATCCATGGGGGCTGTGCACCGGGATAAGCAGGATGGGAGCGCTTTTCCCTGTCTTTTTAATGGGAAGCAGGCCACGCTTTCCCTTGGGAGCGAAGGGAGGAGATGGGGAAGCTCATGGGGGAAGCAGGAGCCGCCATTCCCGATCCCAAGGCTGGGATCCAAGGAAAAGGGGGATTTACCTCCTCCAGCTGGGCTCGGGGGGGGGCGACAGGTACGTGGGTCCATAGGGAGAGCTGTCGATGTGCGGGCGCGTTAAGGGAGAACAGGCACGGGGGTCCGGAGGGGGCGATCCCATGGGAATGCCGCTGATCCCATGGGAATGCCGCTGATCCTATGGGAATGCTGCTGATCCCATGGGAATGCCGCTGATCCCATGGGAATGCCGCTGATCCCACGGGGATGCCGCTGATCCCACGGGGATGCTGCTGATCCCATAGGAATGCTGCCTGTCTGGAGGGGCCGATCCCATGGGAATGCCGCTGATCCCATGGGAATGCCGCTGATCCTATGGGAATGTTGCTGATCCCATGGGAATGCCGCTGATCCCATAGGAATGCTGCCTGTCTGGAGGGGCCGATCCCATGGGAATGCTGCTGATCCCATGGGAATGCTGCCTGTCTGGAGGGGCCGATCCCATGGGAATGCCGCTGATCCCATGGGGATGCCGCTGATCCCATGGGAATGCCGCTGATCCTATGGGAATGCCGCTGATCCCACGGGAATGCCGCTAATCCTATGGGAATGCCGCTGATCCCACGGGAATGCCGCTAATCCTATGGGAATGGCGCTGATCCCACGGGAATGCTGCTGATCCCATGGGAATGCCGCTGATCCCATAGGAATGCCGCTGATCCCACGGGAATGCTGCTGATCCCATGGGAATGCCACTGATCCCATAGGAATGCTGCTGATCCCATGGGAATGCTGCTGATCCCATGGGAATGCCGCTGATCCCACGGGAATGCTGCTGATTCCATGGGAATGCTGCCTGCCCAGAGGCACTGATCCAATGGGAATGCCACCAACCCCATGGGAATGCCGCTGATCCCACGGGAATGCCACCTGCCCAGAGGCACTGATCCCACGGGAATACTGCTTACCCAGAGGCTGTGATCCCATGGGAATGCTGCCTGCGCAGAGGCACTGATCCCATGGGAATGCTGCTTGTCTGAAGGCACCAATCCAATGGGAATGCCACTGATCCCATGGGAATGCTGCCTGTCTGAAGGCACTAATCCAATGGGAATGCCACCTGCCTGAAAGCGCTGATCCTATGGGAATGCCACCAATCCCATGGGAATGCCACTGATCCAATGGGAATGCTGCCTACCCAGACGCTGTGATCCCATGGGAATGCTGCCTGCCCAGAGGCACTGATCCCATGGGAATGCCGCTGATCCCATGGGAATGCCACCGATCCCATGGGAATGCCACTGATCCAATGGGAATACTGCCTACCCAGACGCTGTGATCCCATGGGAATGCTGCTGATCCCATGGGAATGCTGCCGATCCCATGGGAATGCTGCCTGCCCAGAGGCACTGATCCCATGGGAATGCCGCTGATCCCATGGGAATGCTGCTGATCCCATGGGAATGCTGCCGATCCCATGGGAATGCCGCCGATCCCATGGGAATGCTGCTGATCCCATGGGAATGCTGCCGATCCCATGGGAATGCTGCCTGTCTGAAGGCACTAATCCAATGGGAATGCTACCTGCCTGAAAGCGCTGATCCGATGGGAATGCCACCTATCCCATGGGAATGCCACTGATCCAATGGGAATACTGCCTACCCAGACGCTGTGATCCCATGGGAATGCTGCTGATCCCATGGGAATGCTGCCGATCCCATGGGAATGCTGCCTGTCTGAAGGCACTAATCCAATGGGAATGCCACTGATCCCATGGGAATGCTGCCTGTCTGAAGGCACTAATCCAATGGGAATGCCACCTGCCTGAAAGCGTTGATCCCATGGGAATGCTGCTGATCCCATGGGAATGCTGCCGATCCCATGGGAATGCTGCCTGTCTGGAGGCACTAATCCAATGGGAATGCCACCTGCCTGAAAGCGCTGATCCCATGGGAATTCTGCCTGCGCAGATGCACTGATCCCATGGGAATGCTGCTGATCCCACGGGAATGCTGCCTGTCTGAAGGCACTAATCCAATGGGAATGCCGCTGATCCCACGGGAACGCCGCCGGGATAAAGGATATCTGGCGCACGTAGCGGCGCAGCGGGGACACCATCCGGCGCGGATCCCGCTGCACCCGCTCCACCAGGCCGTGGTGCCGGGTGCTCCGGGGGGAATCCAGCGGGGAATGAAGCGGGCCCTGAGGGAGGAGACCGGGATGAGGACGGGATGGGGCTGGGATGGGGTTGGGATGAGGCCGGGATGGGGCTGGGATGGGGCCGGGATGGGGCCGGGATGAGGTTGGGATGGGGCCGGGATGGGGCTGGGATGAGGTTGGGATGAGGCTGGGATGAGGTTGGGATGGAGCCGGGATGGGGCTGGGATGAGGTTGGGATGAGGTTGGGATGAGGCCGGGATGAGGTCGGGATGAGGCTGGGATGAGGTTGGGATGGGGTCGGGATGAGGTCGGGATGGGGTCGGGATGAGGTCAGGATGGGGCCGGGATGAGGTCGGGATGAGGTCGGGATGAGGTCGGGATGGGGCCGGGATGAGGTCGGGATGAGGTCGGGATGGGGTCGGGATGAGGTCGGGATGAGGTCGGGATGAGGCCGGGATGGAGCCGGGATGGGGCTGGGATGGGGCCGGGATGAGGCCGGGATGGAGCCGGGATGGGGCTGGGATGGGGCCGGGATGGGGCCGGGATGGGGCTGGGATGAGGCCGGGATGGGGCTGGGATGGGGTCGGGATGGGGCTGGGATGGGGCTGGGATGGGGCCGGGATGGGGCTGGGATGAGGCCGGGATGAGGTTGGGATGAGGCCGGGATGGGGCCGGGATGAGGCCAGAATGGGGCCGGGATGGGGCTGGGATGAGGCCAGGATGAGGCCGGGATGAGGCCAGGATGAGGCCAGGATGGGGCCAGGATGGGGCCGGGATGAGGCCGGGATGGGGCTGGGATGGGGCCGGGATGGGGCCGGGATGGGACCTGGATGAGGCCGGGATGGGGCCGGGATGGGGCTGAGATGGGGCTGGGATGGGGCTGGGATGGGGCCGGGAGGGGGCCGGGATGGGACCTGGATGAGGTCGGGATGGGACCTGGATGAGGTCGCAATGGGGCCGGGATGAGGTCGGGATGGGGCCGGGATGAGGCCGGGATGGGACCTGGATGAGGTCGCGATGGGGTCGGGATGAGGTCGGGATGGGGCCGGGATGGGGCCGGGATGAGGTTGGGATGGGGCCGGGATGGGGCCGGGATGAGGTCGGGATGGGGCCGGGATGGGGCCGGGATGAGGTCGGGATGGGGCCGGGATGAGGTTGGGATGGGGCCGGGATGGGGCCGGGATGAGGTTGGGATGGGGCTGGGATGAGGTCGGGAAGGGATGGGGCCGGGATGAGGTCGGGATGGGGTCGGGATGAGGTTGGGATGAGGCCGGGATGAGGCCGGGATGAGGTTGGGATGGGGCCGGGATGGGGTCGGGATGGGGTCGGGATGAGGCCGGGATGGGGTCGGGATGAGGTCGGGATGAGGTTGGGATGGGGCCAGGATGGGGTCGGGATGAGGCCACCAAAGGGATCATGGAATCAGCCAGCTGGATCCCAACCATTCCCAGCACGCATTGGGAATGCTGCCATGGATGGAGTCTCCACCATTCCCTGGCCCGATCCCGATCCCGACCCCTCCTCAGTGGATGAATGCTTCCCAATGAACTCCCTTTGGAGCAGCTTGAGGACGCTTCCTCTCATCCCATCCCATCCCTCTCATCCCAATCCCTTTTATCCCATCCCTTCCCTCTCATCTCATCCCATCCCTTCCATCCCATCTCTTCTCTTTTATCCTATCCCTTCTCTCTTATGCCATCCTCTTCTTCTCATCCCATCTTTTCTCTCTTATCTCATCCTTTTCCTCTTATCCCATCCCATTTCTTTCCTCCCATCCCATCCCTTTCATCCCATCCTTTCTCTCTTACCTCATCCCTTTTACATCCCTTCCCTTTTATCCCATCCCTTCCTTCTTATCCCATCCCTTTTCTCTTATCCCAGTCCTTCCCCATTATCCCATCCATTCCATCCCATCCCTTACCTCTTATCCCATCCTTTTCATCCCATCCTTTCTCTATCCCATCCCATCCCTTCCACCCCATCCCTTCCCCATTATCCCATCCTTCTCCTCTATCCCATCTCTTCCCTCTTATCCCATCCCTTTCATCCCACCGTTTCCCTCTATCCCATCCCATCCCTTCCATCCCATCCCTTCCCTCTTAACCCATCCCTTTCATCCCATCCTTTTCTTCTATCCCATCCCTTTCACCCCATCCCTTCCCCATTATCCCATCCCCTCCCCCTTATCCCCTTTCACCGCATCCCTTCCCCATTATCCCATCCTTTTCCTCTATCCCATCCCTTCCATCCCATCCCTCTTATCCCATCCTTTTCATCCCATCCTTTTTCTCTATCCCACCCCATCCCTTTCACCCCATCCCTTCCCCATTATTCCATCCTTTTCCTCCATCCCATCCCTTCCCCATTATCCCATCCCTTTCATCCCATCCTTTTCCTCTATCCCATCCCATCCCTTCTCTCTTATCCCATCCCTTCCCTCTTATCCCCTCCCTTTCATCCCATTCTTTTCCTCTATCCCAACCCTTCCCTCTTATCCCATCCCATCCCTTCCCTCTTACCCCCTCCCTTTCATCCCATCCTTTTCCTCTATCCCATACCTTTCACCCCATCTCTTCCCTCTTATCCCTTCCCCATTATCCCATCCTTTTCGCCCCATCCCATCCCTTTTACCCCATCCCTTTCACCCCATCCCTTCCCCATTATCCCATCCTTTTCCTCTATCCCATCCCTTCCATCCCATCCCTCTTATCCCATCCTTTTTCTCTATCCCACCCCATCCCTTTCACCCTATCACATCCCTTTCACCCCATCCCTTTCACCCCATCCCTTCCCATTATCCCATCTTTTTCCTCTATCCCATCCCTTCCCCATTATCCCATCCTTTCCATCCCATCCCTTCCCCTTTATCCCATCCTTTTCATCCCATCCTTTTCCTCTATCCCACCCCACCCCTTTCACCCCATCCCTTCCCCATTATCCCATCCCTTCCGCCCCATCCCCGCCCTGGGAGCAGCGCTCCCGCCGCCCCCCCCGGGATATCCCGGCGCTCACCTGGAAGTCGGGAATGCCGCTGCCCAGCTGGTTGACGTTGGGAAGGGAGCCGCTGTAATAGGGGCCCCGGCTGTGCGCCAGGCGCAGCTTCTGCGCCTGCAACTGCGAGCGGGGAGCAGGGATGCGGGAGCAGCCCGGGATGGGGAACGGGGGGGAATGGGAATGGGGGGGAATGGGGATGGGGATGGGATGGGGACGGGAATGGGGATGGGGACGGGGATGGGGATGGGATGGGGAGGGGATGGGGAGGGGATGGGGAGGGGATGGGGATGGGGAGGGGGGGGAATGGGGATGGGGATGGGAATGGGGATGGGGAACGGGGATGGGATAGGGATAGGGATGGGGATGCGGATGGAAACAGGAATGGAATGGGGATGGGATGGGAATGGGGATGGGAATGGGATAGGGATGGGACGGGGATGGGAATGGAAACAGGAATGGAATGGGGATGGGAATGGGGGGGATGGGAATGGGGATGGGAAATGGAGGGGGGGAATGGGATGGATGGGAATGGGGATGGGAATGGGGATGGGATGGGGATGGGAACGGGGATGGGGATGGGGACGGGGATGGGGACGGGGATGGGAACGGGGATGGGGATGGGAATGGGGATGGGGGGGAATGGGGATGGGGGGGAATGGGGATGCGGGGGAATGGGGATGCGGGGGAATGGGGATGGGGGGGAATGGGGATGGGGGGGAATGGGAATGGGGGGGAATGGGAATGGGGGGGAATGGGAATGGGGGGAATGGGAATGGGGGGGAATGGGAATGGGGGGAATGGGGGGGAATGGGAATGGGGGGGAATGGGAGAAGGAATAGAGCAGGAATGGGGGGCGAATGGGGAAAGAATAGGGCAGGAATGGAGCGGGAATAGGGGAAGGAATAGGGCAGGAACAGGGCAATAATAGGGCAGGAATGGGGGGAATGGGGTCGGAATAGGGCAGGAATAGGGGAAGGAATAGGGCAAGAATAGGGCAATAACAGAGCAGGAATGGAGGAGGAATAGGGCAGGAATACAGCAGGAATGGGGGGGAATGGGGTCGGAATAGGGCAGGAACAGGGGAAAGAATAGGGCAAGAATAAGAGAATAATAGGGCAGGAATGGAGTGGGGATAGGACAGAAATAGGGCAGGAATAGGGGAATAATAGAGTAGGAATAGAGTGGGAATATGGCAGGAATAGGGGAAGGAATAGGGCAGGAATGGCGGGGAATAGGGCAGGAACGGGGGGAAATGGGGTCGGAATATGGCAGGAATAGGGGAAGGAATAGGGCAGGAATGGGGGGGAATAGGGGAAGGAAAAGGGCAAGAATAGGGCAATAACAGGGCAGGAATGGGGGGGAATAGGGGAAGGAATAGGGCAGGAATAGGGCAATAACAGGGCAGGAATGAGGGGGAATGGGGTGGGAATAGGGCAGGAATAGGGGAAGGAATAGGGCAGGAATGGGGAGGGAATAGGGGAAGGAATAGGGCAGGAATAGGGCAATAACAGGGCAGGAATGAGGGGGAATGGGGTGGGAATAGGGGCAGGAATAGCTCAGGAATAGGGGGGTTTCACCCTACAGACATCCAATGGGGGGGTACCCCCTATAGACACCCCGCCACACACA